ATGGCCCCTCTCAGAGGGACTGGGATGGCCCCTCTCAGAGGGACTGTATTGGCTCCTTTGAGAAGAATTACATGAGGTTCTTTCCCTACAGAAGCTGTGATAGTGTCGTTCCTTGTGTGTGGGTTTCTCTTTAAGGTGGCTGTGTGAGGTTCTCTTCATAGGGGAACCAAGTAGGATTCTCCCTCCAGCATGAACTCTGGTTCCTGTTTTGGAGTTCTTGGATTCCTGGCTAGAGATTTCATTTCTGTAAAAGTTTTTCTTTGCTCTGCTACTACTGTCATTTTGAACAGGACCCAAAGGCTGTCTGGTTGAGGTGGTTTTGAGAGTGGTACTTCTTTGTGAACCTATGGGCTTGGGCAGTTGGATAGGTCTGGGTTGGAAAGAGCTCTCTCTTTCTGGTTGTTGAGCTGATCTGAATTGGTCTATTTCTCCCCACAATGTGCTCTCCTGCTTAGTGATTGAGTCTGTTGGCCTTAGCTTGACAGTTGGTATCCTGTGTCTTTTAGTGTCTCTTGATAAGCAATAGTCTCTGGCTTTTTGTTTCGGAAGGTAATTTTTGCTTGACAAATTGTCTGGCCTTGTCCTGTCCTCAGGCTTCTGCCCAACAAAAGCCATAATTTTGTGTGCTGTTTGCAGTGTCTGCTTCAGGCCCTGAAAAAGCAATTGAATGAATTTTGGTTGGGAGGATTTCTTAGGTTGTCTTCTTAAAGAGGTGGTAGTTGTCTGAGATGCTCCACTCCTCTTCTTTCTTAACTGGGCTGGAAATTCCCTGGAGGTACTCTGTATTATGGCTCTACCATTTGTGTAGAACTTTGTGTTTTGTGTTCTAACTCCCTTGGGGATTCTTTTCATTGGATATTTTGAATCATGGGTCTTTTTGGTTCTCATTTTAGCCCATTTTTCATCCTGGTTGCTTTCAGAGTCACTCTCTGGTAGAGAGTGAACTTGAGTGAATTCATAGTGTCCAGGCCCTCTAACTTCTGTCTTTCCCACTAGGCCAGAGCTGCCACGCTGCCTTCGCCTGATGTGGACTTGTACAGGAGCAGGAGACTGGGAAGACCCAGAATGGAAATCTACTGTAGAGGTAGGACTCTTGGAAGCTCTATTATAGACTTTAGCTTTCCTTAATGATAGTGATATAGAGCTCCTTGGTGTGATGGGTCTGTCTCTTCTATGATACTTCGGGACTTGAGGTCTTTTCCCAGTTCGCAGCCTAAAGCCAAGATGCAACCTAATCTCTCCATGGCCTTCAGGAGTGCTTACAAGGTGAAGCTGTGGGTAGATAAGAAGGTAAGGCCCAAAAGTGGACTGTAATTTATGACAGCAATTAAATCCTGAACATCGACCACACTGTAGGCAGATAGGGTATTTTAGGACCAGACCTGAAGCTAGAGGTGGAGGCACGTTGGGGGGTATTTGACTCCTTAACAGTTTTGCTGCTATTTTTAGCTGCAGATCTTGTAGCAGCTGGAACTGTTCTGAGAAGTCAGTCTTGGCCTGGGAGAGATTACTTGGCTTGAGGGAGTGTTGGGACTTAAAAGTCCTTGTCTGTGAACCACTCTGTGAGTTCTTAATCTCTTCCACTGGAACAGGATCTCTCCTAGCAAAAAATACATTGAAAGAAGACTCTGACTTTACTGGGGCAGGAAGCTGACTTCCTGTACATGAAACAGGCTTGTGCTGAACGACTTCCTGGGATATATCACTGGGCTTTGAGTTTGTTTTCTTTATTCGCTTTCTAGTCCCACAGTAATGCTGTATCATGGAGGACATGGAGCCACGTGTCCACATCCTTAAGGCTGTTCTTTTCTCATGACCATGGCATGAAGTATGTCTCTGAATGTAGTTTTTGACCACTGAAGGCTGAGAAATAGTACTTTGACCCTTTTCAAGCAGGCTCTGGGAAAATTCCATCAGTTCAGCTGGAACCCCAAATAAATTCTGAATAGATTGACAAGTATCTGTAGTGGCTCTTTCTTTTGAAGATTTTTGAGAAGAAAGCTTCCTTTCCATAGTGGTCCCCAAGACATTCCCCAGTGTTAGCATACTGGAGAGATATTTTCTAGGTAGCCGCTGCCTCCAGGAGTGACTCTCCAAGACATTCCGTTGCCTGCGCAGGGCAGACCAGGTAAGGCCTCTTTGAGCCCTTGATCCTGCCTGGAAGGTCCTAGATGGTGATCTCCAGTTTGGTGGTGGATGTTGAGAGAGACTCTGGAGTGAGCTCCCTGGTTCCTCCACCTGCTTCCTCTTAGTCCTTTCCTTAGATATGACATCTACTCCTGGGACCACAGAATTTGGGCTTTTCACGGTGTTAGCTATCTTATCAGAGGTTTGGTTATGAAGAGACAAGGGAAGAGTTGAAGACTGTATCATAGCAAGGTCTATAAAAGACTCCTCAGGCTGCAAAATATCTGTCTCCAGGTTTTTTATATCTAACAATCTTGACACTTCTGACATCTCAGAATCCCAAGGGCCTAATTCAGATGTTCTGGCAGAACTTGAGATGAGTGAGTTTGAAGAGTTGTGTAGAAACCTAGAGAAAAAATTCTGTATTTGTAACTCTTCTCCTGATGAGCTGTCCTCAAGTTCCCTATTCTGATACACCTGTCCTAGATTCAAATCCTCAGATTCAATGACTTGAGGCCCTGATTTTATCCCTATAGATTTCACAGCCTGAAGCCCTTGTTCATGAGTCAACATTGTAGGTTCCTTGAATGGAGATGTTGCCTGGGAGGTTAATCCTACAGATTTCACTTCAGTATTTGGCTTTGGAGTTAATTCTACAGGTCCTACTGGTTCCTGAAGATGTGGCCTCAGGTGTAAATGCAAACAATCTGCTACATTGTGCCCTAATCCTAGAGCTACTCCTATTGGTTCTGCAATCTGAGGAACTGGCCCTAGTGCTAATTCCTCAGATTTCACAATTTCAAATGGTGGCCCCACAGTCTGGACTATTTTAAACCCTGTAAAATCCATTTCCAACGTTTGGTGCTTTGGTTCTGTGATTAATTTCTCAGATTTTGCATTTTGCCTCCGTAGCCCTGAGGTAAACTCTGGCAGTCTCACATCTTGTAGTTCTGGAGTCAAGTGAACATAGTCTACCATTTGAGAGGTTGGCCCTGATGATAATGTCACAGACTTCACAGCTTGAAGTGGTGGCCCAGGAGTCACTTTCACAGACTCAACAACTCTGGGGGGAGCTACTGGGTTTACCCCTGTTGCTTGAGAAACTTGAAGCTGTGTCTTTGTAGATTTTGTGACTTGATCTAGTGGCTTTGGGCTAATCCTTGTAAATTCTGTAATTTGACCCAGTGGTGCTGGGGCTGTCTCTGAATATTTCATACTTTTATTCTGCGATTGTGTTAGCCTCATTGATCCCTCCCCTTGCTGCCATGTCTCAGTGGTGACCTCCATAGATTCTGCATGTCCCGCAATTTGACCTGTTTGCTTTGGGGGCAACTCTAAAGATTTCCCCCTTAGGGATCGCTTAGAGGTCAAACCCATAGATTCTGGGGTTTGATGTCCTAAACCTAATGTTATCTCTGAAGATCCTACATGAGACCATGACTTTGGGGTCAACTCCTTACATTTGTTTACTTGCAGTCCTGTCTTAGAAGTCAACTCTGCAGATTCAGGAATGTGATATCTTAGCCCTTCTGTCACCTCTGAAGATTCTGGGACATCATGTGATAACTTTGTAATCAATACTACAGATTCTTCCCTTTGCAGTCTTTTCTCAGAGATCACCTCCACAGATTCTAGGGATGGAGGATAGGGCCTTGAAGATCTCTCTGCATCAGTGGCTTTATTTATTAGCTTTGGGGTCTTTCCAAGAAGTTCCTCCCCTTGAAGCTTTGCTTTAAAGGTCAACCCCATAGTTTCTGAAATGTGATGCTTGGGCTCTGGGGTCATCCTGTCAGATTCCACAACTTGCTGCAGTGGCCTTGTATGTAACTCCCCCAAATCCTTAACTTGAGGCCCTGACTGAGAGACCAAGTCCAGAGTTTCTGGGATTCTGTTGCCCTTCTTGGAGGTTAATTCTAAGGATTTTGAACCTTGATTCCTTAGTACTAGAGTCAGATCAACAGATTCTGGTACTTGAAGATCTAGCTTCAGAGGCATTCCTGAAGATTGCATGACTTTACCTTTTGGCTTCAGGGTCAACTTCACAGATTTCTCTACAGTTTCTGTGCCTTGATGTGCCAACTTTTGTGCCATTTTTGAAGAATCTCTGACTTGATAAATTGGTTTTGAAATCAAATTCACAGATTTAGGGACTTGATGCCTTGGCTTTGGGATCATCTCTGCATGTACTACACACTGATGCCCTGGCCTAGGGCTTATCTCAGAGGAATCTGTGATTTCAGAGTTTGTTCTTGGAGTTAGAACCTCAGATTTCGCTCTTTGAAACAGTGACTCTGCTGTTAACTCCGCAGATTTTATAACTTGCTGCAGAGACCCTGTAGATGAATTTACATGTTTTATGCTTTGCAACTTTGGTTCTGGATATTTCACACCTTGTTGCTGTGATTCTGGAGACAAATTTGAAAATTTGACATTAGTCAACATTGGTCCTGCTATAGACTTCTTAATTGACTCTGTTGCCGATGCTACTGATTTCACACCTTGCCATCCTAAAGTCACCTCTTGGCAATTCATACCTTGTTGTTGGGACCCTAGTGTCAACTCTACAGATTTCACATCTTGAAAACATGGCTCTGGTGCGAAGATCTCAGAGTCTACACATTGTGACCTGAGGCATGATGACGACCCTAAAGAATTCACACTTTGAGGTTGCAGCAATAGGTTTGATTTCATAGGTTTTGCATCTTGTGAACATGGTTCTGATATAGACAATACAGATTTCTGCCTGAGGCAAGAAATCAATTTCTTAGAATTCACATCTTGAGATTGTGGCTCTAGTTTTGACTCCAGAGATTTCACATCTTGAAGACACGGCTCTGGTGCAAACACCACAGATCTTACACTATGCTGCCTAAGATGTGAGGGAAACTCCTCAGAATTTGTACCTTGAGGATGTGGCCCTGGATTTAAGTCCACAGATTTCACTTTTTGAAAACATGGCTCTAGTGCAAACATTTTGTATTTCAAGTTCTTCAGCTCAGAGTCTGAAATCAATTTCGTAGAATTTGCATCACAAAGCAATGGCTCTTTGTTCATCTTCACAGACTTCATATCTTCAAGCAGTTGTTCTGGTAAAAATAACAGAGATTTCATACCATTTAACTGAGGGCCCAAAGTGAACACAGACTGTACAACTTGTTCCTGTGACCCAAGGTGGTTCACCACAAATTGGATTTCTGGAAACTTTGTCCCTGGAGTTAACTTGGAAGACTTTACACCTTGCAAATGTGGTTCAGAGTTGAACAACATAGATTTTGTACTGTGATATTCTGACACAGGATTCAACTGGGAGGGTTTCACGCCTTGCATCTGTGGCCCCGGATTAGACTCTGAATTTGTGCAATGAAGCTCTGACCCTGAATTCAATTCAGAAGAATTGACACCTTGTAGCTGTGGGCCAGAGTTGAACTTCGTTGATGCTATACCTTGAGATTTTGTCCCTGTAGTCAATTCACATTTTACATCATGTAAATGCTGCACAGGACTGAACATAACAGATTTTATACCTTGAAGTTCTGGACCTGGATTCAAATCAGAAGATCTCATACCTTTACATTTTGTCCCTGAAGTTAATTCAAGAGATTTTACACTTTGCAAGGGTGGCCCAAGTTTACACTTAACAGAATCTACACATTGTAATTTTGGCTTTAGATTCAACTCAGGAGAATTTGCACACTGCATCTGTGGCCCAGGGTTGCATTCTGTAGGTGCTGCACTTAGAAAATTTGATTCTGGAATCAATTCAGATTTCATACCTTGACAGTGTGGTCCAGGGATGAACACCATAGATGTCTCACATTGATTCTCTGGGCCTGGATTCACTTCACATCCCCCATCTTGACATTTTTTTCCTGAAGTCAATTCAAAAGATGCTCCTTGCAAGGGTGGTCCACGTTTGCACCCCATAGAGTTTAAACATTGTAATTTTGGCTCTGGATT